CCTGGCAGGCACGACCGAGTTTGCAAAGTACAGCTTCGTACTACCTGCTTTCTAAGTCTGTGTCCTCTGGGCCTCGCTCCTCCCACTACACTGGGTTGCTCACTCCCTGCGTCTTGTTCATTTTCTTAGGTTCATGGGCGTGCAGTGGTTATGTCTCGCTCTTCTTCGGGACCCCAAGGCAGGTGTGTGTGTTTGTCTTAATCACTTTTTGAGTCCTTATTGCTCATTTATGTATAATGGACTCTCCTTAACGTGCTTGAACTCTCAGTACCAAGATTAATGTCTTCATAATGTCTGAGATGTGTTAAACTCAAATCTCAGTATTATGTCTGATTTTCCTAAAAAAAATATATATATTTTTAAATAGACTTTTGCCATAGGGCACGTGCATTCTCCAGAGGAACAGAGAAAGACAGACAGAAAGTGAGAAATCACCCCCTGGGGATTTTCCACGCTGCAATCCCTTCTCTTTCATTCTCCTCTCAGTATCTTGGGCACATGCGTCCAGTGCGGGTTTCAAGCTGTGGCGTCCTGGACTCTAGCCTGGTCTACTACATGGGAGTCCAGCAATGTAACCGTTACACCTTCTGCTGGTCCCGAAATTTGGGGCCTTTAAAAGGATCTTGTTTTGGGAACCAGCAGTTAGCGTAATGGCTATGTCGCTGGACTCCCACGTAGTCGACCGCAGTTCGTGTCCCGGACCCGGTGGCTTAAAACTCACGCCGGGCGCGTGTGCGTGCGTGCCCAAGATCCCGAGAGGAGAAGGGAGGAGAAGGGATTGCGGCGTGACCATCCCCCCTGGGGGGTGATTTCTCGCTTTCTGTCTCTATGTCTCTCTCTGTCTGTCTGGCGAGCGCACGCGCCCTACAGTGAAAATCTCTCCAAAAAAAAAAAAAGGATCTTGTTTTCTTGCCTCTATGACCACACGCTAATTTTAGAAAAGTAGTTCTTGGGGCCAGAAGGCTGCCTGGTCGTGAAAGTACTGGATTCCCATATAACACGCCATGGTTTGAGTCCTGGACCCGGTGGCTTGAAAATCATGCTGGGTGCGGGTGCATGTGCATGCATGCTCAAAACCCCAAAAGTAGAATGAAGACGTAGGGATTGCAGCATGGTCATCCCCCATGGGGGTGATTTCTTTCCCCCACCCTCCCATGAGCGCACATTACTCTATGGCAAGAACTTTAAGAAAAAATAAATAAGTACAGTTCTTGCCCCCACATTCAAGAAGTGGAACACCTAGCACTATAGGAATTAAGGATTATTCTACCAGACTTGCAGAAGAGTCTCGTGGAATTTTGGGATAGCCACTAGTGTGGGGATTTCAAATCTTAGACATCAGTGATTTGGTAGATGTGTTTCCGTGGCAGCTCTTTACCCGGAAATGATAGCTGTCAGTGTGTGGGGTTTTCTAGGGGTTCCATAACTGCTTTATGTATATTGCCTTTAACTTTAAAAACAAGTCCTGGAGACTTACTAACTCGTTCAAGGTTATTGTCTACTAAGAAGCGACTGTAAGTGCCTCTAGGTCTGACTGACCAGATTCTATACATTTTCATCATAGTACACTGCATTCCGAATAGGAGTGCTTAGTCAGCGCTTAAAATCCACAGATGTATTCACTTTATACATGGAAGACATAGGCTGTAAACTTGATCTGTTTATATCTTACAAAAAAGCTAAAGTAGAACATTGGAGCTCAATTGGACTTCAGAGGCCTTTTCATCAAACTCCCTCATTTAGCACATGAGGAAACTTGACATATTCGAGAGTGGTTGAATGGCGCACCCAGTATCGCACAGCTAGTTGTGGTCTGTAAGATCTTTCTTGGTTAAGCTAATTGTGAATATGGATGTTGTAAAACCATTATTTGAAGGAAATAGCAGGTGCCTGAATTCCCCCCGAAGGAAAAGGTTAGTGTGGCATTTTAGAAAAGTAACATGGGGGGTTCTGGGAGTCTTAAGGACAGGCCTCAGAAAATCCTGACTTTGGATCATGACACGTGGGAATACCTCAGTGCCTTTGCTCACGTGGTTCCCTAATCTTGGTTTCTTTCCTTCCTCTTTTTTTCTTTTTAAAAATGTAGCCACAGTTTACTGAGCTTATGCCTGCCGAGTTGTAATCCCTTACGTGTCAGCTCTGGCCAATCAACAGGTGTACAGAAATGCACAAAATCTAATCACTGCCCGCAAGTGGCTTGCTCTCTTTGGGGGTAAGAGGCGGCGGTGTAATCGCAGGGCAGTGTACGGAGACGCCATGAGGGTAGCTCCAGCAGCTCAGATGAGACAAGCATGGACAGGCTATTGGTTATAGCTTGCTTTTTGGTCGGAGGGCAAGTGTGCTCACCAGAGAGGGCAGAGGGTTGTGGGGTGTGGGGTAGGGAGGAGGTGCTCGTCCTAAGGAGGCATGGTCACATATTGATCCTTCTTTACTCCTTGTGATCAGGATTGTGGGCACATGTGAGTGTGTTTTTCAACACAGTGGGGTTTGACCCGTGGTCAGCCACATGGGAGCTGGCTCCCTTAGCCACTGCGCCGTGGACAGGTGCAGAGTTTCTATACAGAAAGGTGGGTTGGAAGTTAGTCATTAAGTGAAGAGTTGGAGTGGCGTGGAAGGAGGAAGAGACTGGGCAGGAGAACCTCACTGTTTTTTTTTCAGTCTCAACGTTTGCTAATCATATCCTTGCTTGTGTCCGTTTGGCCTCAGTGGCCTCGTCACTGTCTCATAAGACTTAGAGCATGGCCTCTGGATACCCAGCTATCTCCTATCCTTCAGGTCCTAGAGCACCACCCTTGCCGTCAGGCCTTCCTGGCCACCTGTAAATCCCTGCGTGCCTTCCACACGCACCTTTCCTGTCCTGCCTGCTCGCTGCTTTCATGTGCTTTTTGTTATCCAGTGTTCTCTTATATTTTTATTGTCTTTCTACCCTATTAAAGACGTAAGACTCGTGAAGACGGAGATTTCTACCCATTTTATTGAATACTGTGTCCCCAGCACGCAGAATAGTACCTTTTACAGAGTAGGTGCTCAAGGTTTATTGAATGAATAAGACAATAGAACTTTAAAACAGGAACTTACAGATCATTTGATCTAAACTCATCGGTTCTTTCTTTTTGGGGGGCATGTGCGCACATGCACCCAGCATGAGTTTTAAGCCACTAGGTCCAGGACTCGAATTGTGACTGGCCGTATGGGAGTCTAGCACCTCAACCACTCTGCCACCTGCTGACCCCTGTTCTTTCTTTGTAACAGACGTAGAAGAGCTTCTTCCTTGTTTCGTTTTGTTTTTCTTTAATTTAGTAAGACTTAACAAAAATATATAAAGCACACAAATCATAAGCAAACAGCTCAATGAATTTTTATATACATAAGCATGAACCACCAGCCAGATGAAGATATAGAACGTTTTTAGGACCTCGAAGCTTCCCTCATGCTCTCTTACAGTCCGCACTTCTCAAAAGAGACGGGAAGACAGAGACTAGAAGAAGCATCCCAACAGGGTCTCGGCACCACAGTCCACACCAAGCCTTCGGCCAGCCTCAGATCATCGACACCCTGACACACGTGGGGCCTACTCAGGGACGTCTCCAGCTCTGAGCTGGGGACACTCCTGTGTGGGATTTCTATGTAGACTGTTGCATTCCACTGCCGCGCCATGGTCTGGCCCCGATACTGAGTATTGTGTGTTTTCTTTGTTTGTTTGTTTATTTGAGAGGTTTTTGCTGTCGGGAGCACATGCTTGCTGCCGAGCTAGAGGGAAAGAAGATGAGACATCACCCCCAGGGGGAATGGCCTTGCTGCAATTTTCTTCTCCATTTTCCTCTTGGGATGTGGGGCACGCATGCACACATGCTGGTGTGTTTCAGGCTGCTGGGCCCAGACTTGAACTGCAGTCGGCCATGTTGGAGTCCAGCTTCTTAACCACTACGCCACCTGCTGGCCCCCTGAGTATTGGTTTTATAAACATTTTCTAATTGAAAAGTAGAATTTTTTTACTTTAATTTGTATTTTTTTGATTGTAAGCAAATTTGAGCATTGTAATGTTTTAAAGTAATGTTAAAATATTTAGAATAAAAACATTTTTAAAAGAGTGCCTCATGCATTGTTTTATAAAGTAGACGATATCTTAACTAGAATTAACATTATACTACTATGGCTTTTCTTTCTTTTTCTTTTTCTTTTTCTTTTTCTTTTTTTTTTTTTGGCATGTGTGCTTGGGGCACATGTGGTATGGGGCGCGTGTGCTTGCCAGAGAGAGGGAGAGGCAGAAAGTGAGAAATCACCCCCAGGAAAGGATGGCCATGCCAGAATTTCCTCTCCTCCATTCTTCTCTCAGGATTTTGAGCACACATGCATGTATGCCTGGTGTGTGTTTTTCAAGCTGCCTGGTCTGGGTTTTTTTTTTTTTTTTTTTTTTTTAGGGGTTGGGTGCGCTTGCCAGACAAACAGAGTCAGAGAGACAGAAAGCGAGAAATCACCCCCCAGGGCGATGGCCACGCCGCAATCCCTTTCCCCTCCATTCTTCTCTCAGGATCCTGGGCACGCACGCACACACGCCCGGCATGAGCTTTAAGCCACCAGGTCCGGGATACGAACCTTGGTCTACTATGTGGAAGTCCAGTGGCATAGCCATTACACTAACTGCTGGTCCCCCTGGTCTGGGTTTTGAACCACAGTTAGCCACATGGGATCCAGCTGCCTTAACCTCCATGCCACCTGCTAGCCCTTGATTTTCTTTTTAATAGCTACATTTTAAAAATATTTATTACAGGGACCAGCAGTTAGCGTAATGGCTGTCGCTGGACTTCCATGTAGTCAACCACCGTTCGCGTCCCAAACCTGGTGGCTTAAACTCACTCCGGGCTCGTGTGCGTGCGTGCCCAAGATCCCAAGAGGAGAAAGGAGAAGGGATTGCAGCATGGCCATCCCCCCCGGGGGGGGGGGGAGTTATTGCTTTCTGTCTCTCTATCTCTCTCTGTCTGGCGAGGGCATGCGCCCTATAGCAAAAACAAAAACAAAAACTCTCCAAAAATATATATATATTTATTACAGAAACATACAAAGTTCCAAGACCCAGCACTTGCATCAGAGACAGCCGCTGCTATCGATTTCTCCTGTGCACTGGTGAGGGCTCTGTAGCTCTACATACTTCTTCCGCAGGCCTCTGCGCGGAGCGCGTGCCGACGTGGTGAACGTCCCTGCAGCCCGCTGGACTTCCTGTCGCAGTGTGGCCAGCACCAGCTTCACAGAGTGACCTACAGAAAGGGCAAGGACTCTTCCTACGCTTGGGGACAGTGGCCTTAGGACAGGAAGCAGAGAGGCTCTGGCAGATGCAATGAGCCCATTTTCCAGAAAAGGCAAGAACTACAGAGACGGTGCTGCTGAGGCCCGACCGTGTTGAGCCCAGCTGCGGGTCTGAGAGGTTGTGCCTGTTAAGGGAGGTGAGCATCTTGACTGGGAGGAGACAGAAGAGGAAGGGTCGTGATCCAGGTCTAAGCCTCGTCATTTCTTTTATTATGAAGACAGTAAAGTCTTGAGGTGAACATTCACCTCATTTGATTGCAGTCGGGCTCTTTGTGAGGGAATAAAGTAATCAATAAAATTCCTCTTGTGGGGAAATTTGATTCATAGTGAAAAAAGAAGGTACTATAGATGATGCATATTTATGTGTGTGTGCATGTGCGTGCACGTATAAATAATCTGTGTGTGTGTATAAACATCAGATGAATTATGGAGAACATTAATTAAAATACTGTCTGGATTAGATGTGGTATTGTGTACTAAAAAATTAGAAAGGTCTAAAAATGATTAGTATCTGGCTACTGGCCCAGAAGGAAAAGAAGTAGGGTCTGACAGCATCTGGCCACAATTTTCTACAAGACAGGTGGCCTGTGCTCTTTTTATTACTGGGCTGATGGCTAGGAAATAGCTCCATTTATAGTATGACTTGGTAGGACTCTTTCAAAAAGGAAAACCAAGTTTTTGAAAATTAGACAATTGATTCCTGAAAGAAACCCTTTGAACTAACAAAAGCGACTTGGAGGTACTCAGGGAGATATTTACAGGAATATTTGTTCTTAGGCATTTTAGGATTTCTTCGCTTGACAGTTACAATTTCAGCAGAATTTCTATGACCTTGTTGCTTAATAGCCAACATTTGAGCTTGAATAATTACAAATAAAATTAGTTTTTCTATTTACCTTTAAAGACCAACAGTTTCACTGAAAACATATTTAAAATGTATACTTTGAAAAAGATTTTTATGGTGATAGTTTGGTAGTAATTTGCCTCATATATCAGATCTTTTGGGGCTTGACTCGAATGTCCCTGCTAACTGAGTGGGTCTGAGCATGAATCAGGGGTTTTAATTGGAGTCTACAGAGCTTTAATGGGCTAGAGAAAAGATGCAGTGTTTGCTTTTGGGATAGATTTACATTTTAGGCACTTATTTCTCAAAATAAAGTGAGGATGCCTACTGTTTACAGAGTGCCAGCTCATCGTGCGGCCTGGGGTAAGGGCACTGTAGGAGCTGCTGTTTCTCTAATGCATGCCTCCCATTCGAGATCAGTGATGAGACTGCAGGCTGCTGAGAGGACGGGCACCTAACAGCGAGCGGTAATATTTGGGGGATTTTAAGAAAGAATTGGTGAGAGGTGGGAAGATTTCATCTTGTTGTTGTTGTTTTTGTTGTTGTTTAACATTCAGTTTTGAAATAATTAGATATTTGTAGGGGAATCGCAAAGAGAGCACAGAGAATTCCCTCATACTGTACACCCTCCATTCAGCTTCTGCTAATGTTAACATGGTGTATAATCATGGTGTAGTTGTCAGAACTAAGAATTCGTCCTGATCTTTAGAAAAGGAAGGCAACCAACATGAGCTGCAGAGGCGGGTGTTGGGAACAAGTCAGGCTGCACATGGTAGTAGTGGACTGGTGAGTTCGATGTCATCCTTGAGCGCGTTCTCGAGCAGATTACTGAACACAAGTATGGGCACCTGGAGACACTGACCACTAGTCAGCATGAACAAGCCTCTTCTTCCTCGTAGGTTAAGAAAACTGGCAGGTGCATCCGGAGAGGCTCTGCCCACGGGGTATCTACAATTGTAGCTGCATGTGCTGCAGTTTTGATAATATGCTTTCCCTTTATTTTATTTAGTCCTCCTTTCACCTGTGAAGAAAGGGACCCTCAAAGTGACACACATGGCATTTGCAGCCTCTTGTGATACCTTTGTAGACAAGTTACAGAAATGTGGCCTTTGGGTTGTTGGAAAAGTCATGATACATTTTTACATAGAAAAACATAGAAAGTACATCATGACTTTTCCGACGACTCAGCACACAGGCAAGTGGATTTATAATGAACTAAAAGTCCATGTCCAAAGTTTGATGATTAATGAATGGGCTGATGGTAGAATTAAATTGCAGTCCATTCTTAGTGGTGTGCCTCAAGATGTATCTTCTCCATGTTCTATTTAAGATATTTACCAGTTACACTCAGAATGATCCTAGAGTGCTAGTACATGCACAGAACCAGGATCCTCATCCACTCCCTCTGCATCTGGGTGTGTCTTTTTTATTTGTCTGGAGTTGGTGAGTCAGTGGTTTATTACAAATGCCCTACAGCTCATACCCACTTAAGCTATTCAATACATTTTTTGAAGCACGGTGTCTAAAACACAGCTGATTATCCTTTCTTACTCTGCAACAAGCTTAATGTTTTTGGTTTCATTTGCTACATTTTAAGAACATTGATAAACAATGTATTGAGAGGATAGTAATCAGAATGAAGCAGTCTTGAAACAGATACTTAGAAAGTAATTGAAACATTTGAGCTTGTTCCGCCAGATGAAGGAAGACTTCAGTGGGGTATGTGGTAATGCTTTTCAAATTGGGTAATTGGATGATCTTTAATGTTCTTCCAGACTTAAATCTATGGTTCTGTGAAACACATGAAAGGGTGGCAGGTGGAAGGAGGATTAAACACCGTTTGCATTTCCAGAGGATGAAACTAGGAGCAATGAAGGGAGGTTAGAGGAAGGGAAATACTTATTCATAATGAGGAAGCCCTTCCTGACTAATTGTGGGTGTTCTCTGCTGGAGATACTCACGTATGCATCGAGTAGGTTGAAACAAACCTCTAAGGACATTTCCAAACCGAGCCTCTTCATACCTTCATTGGTTATGATTCCGGCTGGCAAAACTTTCTCTTGGGCAGTTGCTCTCACTTATTCATAACCCCTTGTAGATTTGTATATTTTCTTTCCTTTTTTTTTTTGGAGAGGTTTTTGCTATAGGGGGCGTGCACTCGCCAGAAAGACAAAGAGAGACAGAGAGACAGAAAGTGAGAAATCACCCCCCAGGGGGGATGGCCACGCCACAATCCCTTCTCCTCCGTTTTCCTCTCGGGATCTTGGGCACTCATGCACACGTGCCTGGCAGGAGTTTAAGCCACCGGGTCCGGGACTTGAACTGTGGTCAACAACATGGGAGTCTAGCAACATAGCCGTTACACCAACTGCTGGTCCCAGATTTGTATATTTTCTTGATTTTGAAATTCTAATATGAAATAACTTTATATGACTTTTTTTAAAAAATTACTTACAATTCCAAAGGAGACCACACTCTTGTCTTGTTTTGGAAATATCACGGACTGTTTGAAGATGCTTTTAATAAGATAGATTTTAAGTATCATTAATTCAGATACTTACATGTTTATCTCTTCTTCATTTCTAAAATAATTTAGTGTCAAAAGCGAAACCAGAGGTCATTAACTTCTACCTGATTCAATGTTTAAATCCAAACTGAAGCAATAAATATTTTTTATCTGTCCCTTGAATAAACTAGGACCTTTTCTGGCTTTTGTGACTATTTGTGCCCTAATAGTACCCCTCTCTTTAAAGCCCGTCTGAGGTCTGAATGTCGAGGACTTGCTCCATATCCGTTTCTTAGAGCCATCTCTAGTTTTTCTCCCCAATGTTGTATTTTTTTTTCTTCCTTTTAAAATAGTTTATTATTTTATTAGCACTGTGCCTATGCTGTTTGTTGTGAAGTTTATTAACTGCCTTATAATATGTAAGGATTTTTTTTTTAATCAACAAGGCTATAAATCCCTTGAGGATTCTTTTTTTTGGGGGGGGGAGAGATTTTCACTGTAGGGCGCGTGCGCTCGCCAGACAGACAGAGAGAGACAAAGAGACAGAAAGCGAGAAATCACCCCCCAGGGGGGATGGTCACGCCGCAATCCCTTCTCCTCCATTCTCCTCTCGGGATCTTGGGCACGCACGCACACGCACCCGGCGTGAGTTTTAAGCCAGCGGGTCCGGGACGTGAACCGCGGTCGACTATGTGGGAGTCCAGCGACATAGCCATCACGCTAACTGCTGGTTCCCTTGAGGATTCTTCATAACGTAGATGATGGTGGTAGGGAGACTTAGAAACTACTTATTGAAATTAACATTTAGAAACCCAGAGGTTGGGTTTCGGTTACATCAGAACAGCGTAAGGAAAAGCCTGTGCAGGTGAGGCCCTGTGGTACAGCAGCTAAGTGCTGTGTAGAGGTAGCCGGGTCTTGTGGCCCTCTGGGGTTCAAATCCTAGCCCCGACAGCAGCATGCCAGGCTTGAGCACAGTGACCAGGGTGCTGACGAGATGGAGATGTGGAGGGAAAACAATTGCGGTGTGACTAGACCCCACTGGGGCTGCTTTCTCCTCATGCGCATCTACAGACATCACGAATAAAGGAAACACAGTTTTCACAACAAGAAAAAGTCTGTGCAGAGCTTCCATTTAATTTCTACTTCTCACTTTCTCTTTGTCTCTGTCTCTCTCTGGTGAGTGCACATGCCCTATGTGCCCTATGGCAAAAAATCTTTTTTCCTGAGAGTATTTTCCCCCCATAAGGCACATGCAACTGCCAGAGAGAAAGACACAGAGAGTCAGAAAGCAAGAGATCACCCCCTGGGGGCATGGCCACGCTGCAGTCCCTTCTCCATTACCCTCTCTGGATTTTGGGCACGCATGCACGTAAGTCCAGCATGACTTCTACGCCACCAGACCTGGGACTTGAACCATGGTTGACTACTTAGGAGTCCAGTGGCATAGCCATTACGCCGTCTGCTGGTTCCCCTATGGTGAAAAATCTTTAAAAAAAAGGGAAATATCAAATGACAGCTAGGGAGAGAAATACACTGGCTGGCCGGGAGGCCTTTCCTTGTACTAAGTCACATGCTGTGCTCATTTGCTTGTTCTTGGAGGCCGAACGCCCATTACATACTGCTGCTGGCTCTTGTAAGGAAATGCACGGGTGAAACTGGGCCGTTCGCTCACCTGTTTGGCATGGGGTGTGATTATACTGGCACCCATGCTACTGGAACCTAGAGGGAGTTCAGTACTAGTGTGATCCAGCCGTTCTCAGTGGAGCCTTTGTTTCTTTTCAGTTCAAACCCCTGTATGACACTACAATGCCAAATACTATTTAAAAATGCTGTTTTTTTTTTTTTTTTCCTTTTTTTTTTTTTTGGAGAGGTATTTTTTGCCACAGGGTGCATGAGATCCCCAGAAAGACAGAGAGAGACAGAGAGACAGAAAGCGAGAAATGACCCCCCAGGGGGGATGGCCATGCCGCAATCCCTTCTCCTCCATTCTCTTGGGATCTTGGGCACTCACGCACCCGCGCCCGGCGTGAGTTTAAGCCACCGGGTCTGGGAATCAAACCACTGTCAACTATGTGGGAGTCCAGTGACATAGCCATTACGCTAACTGCTGGTCCCAAAAAGTGATGTTTTCATAGGACTTTAAGTACACATTTATAACTTCAGCTTAGCATAAAGTCAGTGAGTGACATTGAGGCAGAGCTCCCCTTCTGTCACGTGCTCTTTCCTTCCCAGCAGCTAACACTGTCTAACAGAGTAGATTCTCCATGCATCTTCTTGGAATGCATGAATGAATGACTGAGGCTATCTCGATGTAGGCAAGAGTTTGCACATTGAATCCAATGGATGATGTCAAACGCACAGATTATAGTCTCTTGGTCTCTGTGTTAAATTTATTTCTCTACTTTGTAGAGTTTTCTACCACACTAGAAAGCTGCTTTGGATGGATTTGAGGTTAGGCTAAGAGTCAGGATACTCATTCTCAAGTTGAACTATCACTTGGATAGAGAAGAATTGGAAAATGTTTCAAAGCTAAATCAGTAACAGTATTTTACAGTTGCTTTTGTTCTTTATGATAAATACAAAGGAAATCATGCAGGAAGCAACACTGCTTACTGATCATTTCTGTAGCATCATAGTATATTATGAGTCCACTTTTTTTTTAGGGAGATATTGGCTATAGGGCTTGTGCACTCACCAGAGAGACAGAGAGTTAGAATCACCCCCCGCCCTGGGGGATGGCCATGCTGCACTTACTTCTTTCTATTTTCCTCTCTGAATTTTGAGCACACATGCACATGCGCCTGGCATGAGTTTAAGCCACTGGGTCTGGGACTTGAACCACAGTCGATTATGTGGGAGTCCAGTAACGTAACCATTATGCCGTCCACAGGTTCCAGTCCACTTGGTGGTTCTTTTTGTTTTTGTTTTTTCCCCAACGCCTCTGTTGAGGTATTATTGCTGTACAATAAACTCTATGCATTTAGAGTATACGTTTTAATAGGTTAGGACGTGCCATGACTTGCTCATCATTCCAGATGTTTCCCATGTTCCTTCGTGATCTGTCCCGCATTCCTCTTCAGACGTCACACCCCACCGTGCCGAAGTAGCCGGTATGCTACTTCTGTCACCATAGATTGTTTTGCATTTTCTAGAGTTTTATATAAATGGAATCACAGAGTATGTGTTTTCTGGGTGGGAATGGGGGGTTCTGACTTCTTTCACTCAGCCTAATTGTTTTGTAAGATTTTTCAAAAAATAATTGTGTATATCAACAATTCATTTATTTTTGATTTCTCAGTAGTAATATTAATATTTCATTATATGAATATAGCAAAATTTATCACTCATTTATTGATGAACATTTTGGTTATTTACAGCTTTAATATACATTTATGTATGTGTCTTCGTAAGGAAATATGTTTTCATTTTTCTTGGTAAATACTTAGGGATGGAATGGCTAGATCACATAGTAGATCTATGTTTTCACTTGGAAGGAGTAACATTTATTATAAAGGGCTAATTTTCTTAGTGCACAAAGAGTTTTTTTCTTTTCTTTTTAAGAGGTTTTTGCCTTAGGGCATGTGTGTTTACCTGAGACAGAAAGAAACAGAGAGAAGGAAAGTGAGTAATCACTCCCCCAGGGAAATGGCCACGTTACAACCCTTTTTCCATTCTCCTCCTGGGATCTTGGGCATGCACACACACACACAAGCCCAAGTGTGAGTTTCAAGCCACCAGGTTCGGGACTCAAACCGCAATTGGACATATAAGTTCAGCAACGTAACCACTCTGCCACCTGCTGGCTCCCAAAGAGATCTTATAAAGAGCAGTGAGACCAAAAACCTAACAGAAAAATATCCAGAGAATGTAAACATGGAACTCACACCAAAAGAAATACAAATGGCTTTAAACAGAAAGGATTTCTGGAAAGCTAAATAGAAAGGTTAACATTTCAAATGGAGATCTCTGTAGTTAGACTACTTGGGACTGTACATCGTTTCATGGGTAATGTGATGTTAAGTATCAAGTTCCTCAACCTTTATGTGTTTTGGTTTTCTCATTAGTAAAGTGGGGATAATAATAATGCCTACATCACAGAATTGTTATGCGAATTAGAGGAGTTAATATTTGTGAAATCCTCAAAATAATTCAATACCTAGCACATAATAAGTGTTTTGCAAAGTTTATTATTATAAAAATACACATTTAAACAATAGACCATTTTTACATGCCACATCTGCAAAGATTACAGTGTTTAATAATACACAATAACAGCAGAGGTTTGTGGAATCACCATGATGTATGTAGACAGGAGTGTACATTGTTGCTGTTTCTTTAAAGGGCAGTTTGACTTAACTTATTAAAATGATAAGTGTTTATACTTTCTGACTTGGCAATTAAAAAATATCTTTGCTCATTCTCTTGTTAATTATATTGCCAGAAATCCTAAATGACTTTTTCTTTTTTTAAGAGATTTTTTGCCTTAGGGCACGTGTGCTTGCTGGAGAGAGAGAAACGAGACAGAGACAGAGAGAGGGAAAGTGAGAAATCACCTGCCAAGGGGAATGGCCGCGCTGCAATCCCTTCTCCATCTCCTCCTGGGACCCTGGGCATGTATGCACATGCACCCAGTGTGAGTTTCAAGGACTTGAACCACAGTCAGTTTGTGGGAGTACAGGGCCATAACCACTACACCATCTGCTGGCCCTAATAAAAATTCTAATAAATGACCCTTAGTATGGATCTGGCTAAATAATTGATGCTACAGCCACATGACGAGATCTCACGGGCTGTAAAAAGAAAGGAAAAGCCAGCGCGTCTCACGAGCTCCTCTAAGGCACATATGGGTGCAGTACAGTTGCAGAACAGTGTTGCTGGTGTGCTGACCTTAAAGTGAGAGAGGTGTGTGTGTGTGTGGCACGCGCAGTACACCTGCGTGTGCACACATTAGTCAGCACATTTCTGTTTTAACATGTGTAGATTTTTCTGGAGAGATACACAGGAAGCAAAACAGTTGTTGGTTCTGAAGAGGGTCTAGGGAATTAGAAGTCTGAGATCTCAGTAAGACTTTGTTTTGGTGTGGTTGCGTGTATTTTTATAGTTTATTTTAATTTTTTCCAGAAGTGTGTTACTTAAAATTTTGCATTTGAAGTAATTATAGGTTCATGGGAAGTTGCAAAATTAGTGCAGAGAGGTCCCATGTATCTTCATGCAGTTCCCCCCAGTGGTTGCAGCTTATATAACACCAGTAGTGCTAAAACCTGACACTGGCTTTGGTACAATCCACAAACTTTATTCTGATTTTACCAGTTTTGCACATACTGACCCTTCGGATATGATCTGCAGTGTCATCGTCACCACCCAGCCACAGCATAGGACTGTGCCGCCCACAGGAATCCCTGGACGTGCCCCTTTTACCTGTGGGCTCCTGAACCCTGACAGTCTGACACTGGCCTCCGAGAACGTACAGGGGAGGTTATAGAGATATGCAGATGATCGCGTACGGATGCGCCTTGACTTACGAGGGGGTTACGTCCTGGTAAATGCATCCTGAGTTGAACCTCCCATAAATTGAAAATACCATGGGGCCAGCAGGTGGCGTCATGGCTAAGACTCTGGACTCCCACAGAGGTGAATGCAGTTCGAGTCCTGGACCTGGTGGCTTGAAACTCATGCCGGGTGCATGTGCATGCATGCCCAAAATCCTGAGAGGAAAATGGAGGAGAAGGGATTGTGGTGTGGCTGATACCCCGTGGGGGGTGATCTCTCATTTTCTCTCTTCATCTCTCTCTCTGGACAGTACACACACCCTATAGCAAAAGTCTCTCTCAAAAAAAAAAAAAAAAAAAAAGCTGAAAATGCACCTAATGCCTAATAAGCTCATTGTAAAGTTGAAAAGTTGGAAGTCGAGGCCCGGCTACAGTGGTGTTTGCTCTACAGTGCTGCTTGGCAGGCTAAGAATATATGGGAGGTCGGGGTTTGATTCCTGGCCTGCCCTAAAAGCCCTAAAAGCCAGGTGGGGTGGTGGCTTCTCTAGCCCTAGCAACACATGAAATCGAGGCAGGAAGATTACGTGTTCCCCATGGGCAACATGGCAAGACCATGTCTGAGGGAGCTAGGCCTGGTAGGACATTAGTCCCAGCTACTGGGGAAGCTGAGGCAGTAGGACCATGACTTAGCAAGATCCTCCTTTGTCTCAAAATAAAACAAAACAAAAATCAAACATACACACAAAAACGTGGAAGTTGACCCATTGCAAGTTCAGACCCTCTTCAGCTACCAGGGGATTACAGCTGATAATCGCACTTTAAAGTTGAGTGATCTTAAGTTGGGGAACATTTGTAACGGAACAGAGTGGGGCAGGCACCAAAAGGGTGGAGCACATGGACTGCGTGGAGAATTCCGACCAGAAATAAGAAAAGTCCGCATGAGAAGAACATTAACGTTATTAGAACTGGCTCTACTCCTTTTTTTTTTTTTTTTTTTTTTTTTTTATCCACCACTAACTACCCAAATGTGCAAAGTAAGACAGGTGAGAGAAGCATACCCTGATACTGCGGCCCGTCTGCCGTCGTCTGTGAAGGAAGGCTGTGTCACCCTCGTACCAGATATCCGTGTGGCTGTTTATGCTACACAGTTCTGAAGGCCTGGAAATACAGCAGCACACAAGGTAGACAGAAGTCCCTACCCCATAGAACTTACATTTTAGGTGGGCCAGTAAAAGAGTAAATATACAGCATGCTAATGATAATAAGAAAAGTAAGACAGGGAAGAGGGATTGGAGTATGGGAGGAGTTGCACTTCTATAAAGGATGGCCCAGAGAATTCACTGATAAGGTGACCTTTAAATAACAGGAAGTTGGGGCCAGCAGGTGGCGGGATGGTTAAGGCACTAGACTCTCACAAGACAGACTGCTGTTCGAGTCCCAGACTCCTGGTGGCTTGCTTTCTCTCTCGCTCTGTGTCTCTGGTGAGCACATGTGCCCTATGACAAGTTAAAATAATAATAATAAGTAAAATTAAATAATTCTTTAAAAAAATTACATGAAGGCAGTCAGTGAATGTAGCATGCAGACAAATGCAAAGCGCTCCAGTCTCCTGAAGGGCCAATCCTCTGGGGCCAGAGCCTGCCTGAGGTACTGACTTTTGAGGAGACCTGCCATTGGGAGGAGTGAGACCCAATGGCGGAAGATGAGTTAGAGAGCTGCTGGGGGTGGCCATTGGGTGGAGTGGGAGGACAGAACGGTGGAGGACGAATTAGAGAGCTGCTGGGGGTGGCCATTGGGTGGAGTGGGAGGACAGAATGGTGGAGGATGAGTTAGAGAGCTGCTGGGGGTGGTCACTGGGTGGAGTGGGAGGACAGAACGGTGGAGGACGAGTTAGAGAGCTGCTGGGGGTGGCGGGTGGTGGCTAGGCCTGCCGGGGCCATTTTAAGGATCTCAGCTTTTAATCTAAATGACAGGGATATAGAAAGACATTGAATGGATTCAAACAGAATGGTGACATGATTGGGCTTGCTTTTTGTTTTTAAGTTTATTTCTTCAGAGAGGGAGAGCATTCCCGACAGAGCCCTGGTGCTGTGAGCCACCCCAGCCCTAGCCAGTCCTGGGTTATGGACATATGTGTGCCCCGTACTCGGGGAGATCTTCAGACATGAACCCAGAGGTTCCCGTGCGGGTCAGCGTCTGAGAGCATCGCCTTCTACCACTGCCTGGCTGCTGGACTCTGGGAGAATCATGGCAGGGCTGGCCTGAGAGCAGTGTGGCTAAGGAAGCTGGATCCTACACGGCCAGCTGTAATTCAGTCCTGGCCAGGGTGGCTCGAGAAATATACTGGGTGCATGTGCGTGTGTTCTCCCCAAATCCCTATAGGATGGAGAAATGGCGGAGGAAGGACTGAGACGTGACCATGTCCCACGCGGGGGTGGGGTGCTTTCTTTCTCTCTCACTCCCTCTCTCACTTTCTTGTCTCTGGCGAACACACGCGTTCTTTGGTGAAAATGAATCCCAGTAACTGTGTTGAACATAGACTGAAGGAGAACTAGGGCAGACAGTGAAGCCACTCGGGACGTTTGTAGTAGTCTGCACGGCAGGCGGTGACCTCACCAACGTGGGAGTAGTGGAGGTGGTAGCTGGTGTTTGAAAGTCCGAAGAGCTTGTTGAGGAAGGGAGAGAAGGGAAGGGGAAGGACTAAGAGTGATACAGAGTTTCTGACATGAACATAGAGTTGCCTGTTTTCTGGGATGGGTAAAACTGTAAAGGAAAAGATATTTTTAAAATTTTATTTATTATTATCATAACCTTGTGTATATTATATTGAATCACATTTGTGTTTACAGTGTTACATTTCTTTTTCCAGAAGGAATACCATGCATATCAGTCAAGACATTACTATCCACATCATCACCATCAAATAGCTTTTCATAATTTTTTCCCAGATTATTATTTTTATTCTCATCATTTTTTTAAAACATTCAATCACTATTTATCATTTTGCTTGTAAAAAGAATTTACCCAGCATGAAATACTTCTCAGACCAGCCCAGTTGAGAATATTACACGTCATCATCAACAGGTAACAAACCATTTCTGTATCCATTCTCTTGCTATCCTTCTCCGTAGTCTTCCCTCTCCCTCTCAAAGGAAAAGTTTCTGAAGGAGAGTTTTGGACAAAGTAAATTTGAGATACATATTAAAGTATCTAAATGAAAAGACTGATAAATGTTTCTAGAATTCATGGGAAAGGAATGGGCTAGAGATTTAAGTTTGGAAATAATACGCAGATAGCACTTAAATAAGTTCAATAAGATTACTTCACAAAGGGAGTAACTGTAGAGAGACGAGGCCCCAGGACTGATCTTTGGAGCACTCCAATGTTTAAAGTTTGGGAAATGAGGAACCAGCAAATGTAACTTAGAAGAAGAAACCATTGAGGCAGGAAGAGAACCTGAGAAGTGTGATGTCTCAGAAGCCAAAAGGAGAAAGTGTTTCAGGGAAGAGTAATGAGCCCCTGTCAAACGCTGCGGATAGTTCAAATACGAGGAGAGCTGGGGACTGATCGCTGGATTTGGCAGTCTGGAAGTCATTAGTGATTCTGAGAGAGCAGGGTTGAGAAAGTAGTGGGGAAAAGTCCGGTTGGCGTGGACTCAAGAAAAAAGAAAAATGAGAAATTGGAGATAGTCCTAGGTTTTGCTGAAGAAGAGAATTTTGGTAGTAGCTTGAGGGAGCTATTCAGAAGAGATTTCTTTGTATTTTACATGGGAAAACTGATGTTTCGTGTGCCGGAGTGTGAGAAAGATAACAGAAAGGCAATGTCGTGGGGACGGGGACATGCAGTGGTTGTTCAAAGGCCCAGGAAGGCGGGGCTTTGCATGGAGCATAACTAGCTCAGTCTCGTAACCAGAGAGAAATCAATATATGGGCAGAGTCGCTACGTAGGTGTGATCGTGAGAGCTTGTGGACACAAAAAAAATCTTTCGAAATTGTATTTTTTCAGTAAGGCAGGCAACAAGGTCATCACATGAAGCTGAGAAGGGGGGAAGGTGCTGGAAGATGGAGGAGTGACAAGTATGAGAGAGTCACACAGCAGAGCGAACGATCAGGAAACAGAGGTCTAATTAGGCAGCACTAGGGACTCACTTGACGTTTCTGATCGTGAACTTAAAGATGAGCCAGTTGTGAGGGTGTGTGTGTGCTCAGCAGCTCTGTAGGTACCAAGAGGAAATGGGCAGAAAGCGGGGTTGGCACCAGTGTTAGCCAAGCAAGGTTGGTGAAGGAAGAAGGAAGACAGGTAGTTAAGGGGGAATACAGGGGAGGGAGCGACTAAATGACTGAGCATGGATTTAACTTGAATGCAAAGGGAACCGAGGACATGGGAAGTCAAAGAGAAGTGGAAAGTGGTAAGAAGATTGGTCTGTTAGGTTTAAAGGGAGTTAGGGCATTTGCGAGTGAGCTGATAGAGTGTATTGCTTAAAAACAAGGGGCTGCGTTTATTCAAGTTAAGAAAGTCTGAAGTTGGGCCGTGGGAGTGAGTGTCTATAGTAGGGTGGGAGTAAGGTAAGTGGAAGAGGGGATGCGCGTGCAGACATTCCCAGGCCTCGTGACTGCTACCGCTGGAGCCTGTGTGACGAGCCAGCAGCTTACCCAGGGAATGGAGTTGCTGGATGACTCTCGGAAGGAGAGGCGGTGAGTGGTGACGACCAGAGATTCCGAGGTGTGTGTTTAGGGACGGGTGAGAAGGAATGATCTGTAATAGACAATGAGAAGCAAGGAGGATACCTGCCCCCCTGCGGGTCATTCGCTGTAAGGAGTTGGGAGAGAAAACAGAACCCTTCAGAAAGCTGCTAGGGACAGCTCGCTTAGCTAAGAGCAAGAGTGACTAGCTAGAGAGCTGTGCGGAGCATCCCGGATGGATGGGACACCTCCAACGGAGGCAAAGCAGGCCCTGACTGGTGCTGGAAAATAGAACAGCAAAGTCTCAGAGCAATTTGGAGTTCGGGGTTGACCTTCACGTGATGTCTCTGTAACCTTACTCCTTTCAGTATCACTTAGAGTTTATAAGCATTCTTTATCTCAGCATCCAGACATGTTTTTGTCAAAGTAAATGTCAGCCTCAAGACTGAAATCAGTAGGGTGTGGTTTACTACTTCCCAGGACTGATCTTGAACCACTAACCATGGCTTTTGTTGCAGCTTCTCAACTACTTCCTCCATTGAGTTGTATCTCTGGGCATGCAGTGCAGGTAATGACACCTCTCTTCCTTCCAAGTCTTTTAGGAGTATCCAAATCAAGAAAAACTTAATTAGAAAAAATAGGTATAGAGTTGTTCCATTTATTTTCTAAAGTTTTATAATTTGCTTCAGCTATGTTATATTACTACATTTAAATTGCCTACTGGGACCAGCAATTAGCGTAATGGCTATGTCGCTGGACTCCATGTAGTCGACCACGGTTCACGTCCCAGATCCGGTGGCTTAAAACTCACGCTGGGCGCATGTGCTTACGTGCCCAAGATCCTGAGAGGAGAATGGAGGAGAAGGGATTGCGGCGTGGCCATCCCCCCTGGGGGGTGATTTCTCACTTTCTGTCTCTCTGTCTCTGTCTGTCTGGCGAGTGCACGTGCCCTATAGCAAAAACCTCTCCAAAAAAAAAATAAATTGCCTACTAATAGAATAACAGTGCCCCCCCACCCCCCACCCCCAGTTCATCGAGCACATGAACTTGCCAGAGAGAGACAGAGAGGAATAGTGAGAAATCATTCCTCAGCAGGGACGGCCATTCTGCAGTCCCTTCTCTCGGGATTTTGGGCACGTATGCACATGCGCCCAACGTGGTTTTCAAGCTGCTGGGTCTGGGACGCAAACCAAAGTCAACCATGTAAGAGTCCAGCACCTTAATCAACATGCCACCTGTTGGCCTCCTGAATAACAGTGTCTTAAAAATTTTCTTAAAAATCCAATAGAGTTTTTGGTTCATAGGCACCTTTTATAGTCTATTAGCTAGATGTATTATCTCAATATATTTTAAAAATTATTTAATATCATAATTTTTTCAATTTGGCCAGAGGGAGGGAGGGAGGTGTGTGTGGGAGAGAGAGAGAGAGAGAGAGAGAGAAAGTGAAAGTGAGAAAGCAAGCCGCCAGGTCCAGGACTCGAACTGTGGTCAGCCATGCGGGAGTCCAGTGCCGTTAACCACCGTGTCACCTGCCATCCCCATCATCAATATTTTTAATTTGGCCTGTTTCAGCTCTAGGTATCAGAAAGCCAAATTCAAACATTTTTACACAATAAGGAAATTTATTATCTTAACATAACTGGAAATTGAAAGAAAAGGTGGGTTTCAGGGTTAGTCGGACCTTATTGAAAACACTAGGTTTCAGGTTATTTTCATTGGTCCCTGCTGCTATCCATAATGATGGCTTTATACCGATTCTCTTTGTAGTTGTTTGATGGTTGCCAGGAAGAAACCATATGCTCTAAGGAAGAAAAAGTCTGGCTTGCTTCCTCCTAAGGAAAGGACAGACCTAACCAGAAGCCACCAAACCTCTGATCACAGTTCACTGGCATGATTCTTTTCATTTCTGATCAGTTTCTGGCAGTGAGGCTAGGCTGACCCTTGAGTCTCAGCTGCCGCCACTGAGTTATGGAGTGGATATTGGGGAAGACAATCACACTGTCTACTATAGTGTCTGCCTTGGTTGTGTTCTAGAGAGGCTTTAAAAATCCATTCTTCTTCTGTATTTTCATAACCAGTCAAAATATACTTAGTCATATTCTCTTGGTTTAATTTGTCACATTCAGCGATATAGCAATTATTAAACATTGCCTTCCCAAAAAAAGAAGAAATGTTGGAGTAGTGAAAAGATTAGAGATAGTTGGCAAATTTGGATCTGTGCTTTTTCGTAACTGCTAATTCTTAACCTCTTTCACCTCCAGATCATTGACCGAACTATCGTTTACATAGAGACTTCAAGGATTTGACATGCTTCTCCCTTCTCTGTGTCAGAAGCTGCCCGGAGCGCTGTGGCACAGTAGAAAGCGAGCTGGGTTGTGATTAAGGTTCTCAGTAGTCGTAGCTCCGCTGCCTTCCTGTTCTGTGTGATCACGGGCAAGTCACTTCCCACCCCAGACCTGCTGCTTCTCTGCAGGCTGGAGAGAGCTCTCCACCTTGTCACCAGGGTGGAGTTGAAGAAGTCGATGAGCGAGAGACGTGGAAGATAGAGAGTAGCACACATAATTAAGTTGCCTTCATTATTACACGAATTAAAGGATAGGCAGTTAAAGGGAGGAAAATAGAATAACTTGGGGGGTTTGTTTTGTTTTGTTTTGAGAGGTTTTCGCTATAGGGCGCATGCGCTCACCAGACAGACAGAGAGAGACAGAGAGACAGAAAGTGAGAAATCACCCCCCAGGGGGGATGGTCACGCCACAATCCCTTCTCCTCCATTCTCCTCTCGGGATCTTGGGCAGGCACGCACATGCGCCTGGAGTGAGTTTTAAGCCACTGGGTCCGGGACGCGAACCGCGGTCGACTACTTGGGAGTCCAGCGACATAGCCATTATGCTAACTGCTTGCTCCTGGGGGTTCTGGTTTTAGAAATAAATATCTTAGGTTCTCAGTATCTAGGGTATATCAGTAGAAGATAAGGATGTGTTTCACTTTTTTTTTTTTTTTTTGGAGAGGTTTTTGCTATAGGGCGCGTGCGCTCACCAGACAGACAGAGAGAGACAGAGAGACAGAAAGTGAGAAATCACCCCCCAGGGGGGATGGTCACGCCACAATCCCTTCTCCTCCGTTCTCCTCTTGGGATCTTGGGCATGCACGCACACGCGCCTGGCGTGAGTTCTAAGCCACCGGGTCTGGGACACGAACCGCTGTCGACTATGTGGGAGTCCAGCGACATAGCCATTACGCTAACTGCTGGTTCCCGCGTTTCACTTTTTTTGAAATTAGATGATTAATGGATGAAAGAAGTCTTACCCTAAGACAGCTGTTTGAATGCTTGACTCTAGGTCAATTCTGTTCCCCAGAACTTTTTTTTAATTTGACTCTAAGCTTTTGCCCTAGTTTTTTGCTTACAGCTGTTTTTGAAGCTATCAAGTGTAGAATAGATTGTAAGCTATGGTGCTTTATGTGGTTAATAGGGTATAATAGATCCCCTCTGAGAGAGACCGGTTTTTCATACACACTTTTCCTTTTTCATGGAACATGGTTCTTTTCAGGAATCCTGAGGTTTCGCACTAAAACGTTGGTGGAGTTGTTATTACCACAGGAGGTATCACATTTCATTGCTGAGAATTCTAAAGAGCAAAATTTGGTTTTCTCATGAAAATACAACTTGGTCATATATTGTGCTTTTTACATATTGTTGGATTTAATTTACAGAATGTTAAGAATTTTGCATTCATATTCACGGGAGCGTGGTCTATAGATTTTCTATAATAAATAAAATGATAGAAATAATGTAATAAATAAATAGATGATATAATAAATGTTTTGTCTGGTTTTGATAGATAGTGCTAACCTTGTAGAATGAGTTGAGAAGTGTTCCCTCCTCTGTACTAGATGAGATTTTGAAAATTGATGTTATTAAAAAAAATTAATTATTGGAGACCCAACAGGTGGCATGGTGGTTAAGCCGCTGGACACTCCCACATGGCTGACCATGGTTTGAGTTCCAGACCTGGTAACTTGCTTTCTCACTTTCCCTCTCTTTCTCTGTGTGTCTCTCTCTCGTCATATTAAAATGAATAAATGAATAAATAAATTTTTAAAAATCGATGCTGTTTCTTTTTTAAATGTTAGGTAGAATTCACCAGTGAGGCCAGTTGGGCCTGCCTGCAGTTTTCTTTGCAGGAAGAGTTTTACAGTCGATTTCTTTAATAGATACCGGGTTATCCAGGGTATCTATTTCTTCTTGAGTGAACTTAAAGAGCATGTCTTTGGAGGAATCCATCTGTTTCATCTCAGTTGTTAAATCTGGCAACCTGAAGTTGTTGATAGCAGCCCCTTGTTATCCTCTGTTGTCTCTAATTTCTCTCATTGTGCTGTGTCTCCCCCCACCACTACCACTAATTAGTCTGGCTAGTGATTTAATAATTTTACTGATCTCTCAGAACCAGCTTACTTTCATTGACTTAAACATTTTTTAAATGGACTTTATTTTTCTAGAGCAGTTTCACGTTCACAGCCCAAGTGAGGAAAAGTACAGTGATTTTCCATGTACTCCCAGCCCCTCCCTGCCAACCCCCTTCACTGTTGATATTCTGAAATGGAGTGGTGTATTTGTTACAGTTGATGAACCTACACTGACACGTCAGTATCACCCCCCACATCCACTCTTTACATTTGGGGTCACTTTTTTGTTGTTGTTTTGTTTTTTAAGAGAGATTTTTGGTAGAGGGCATGTGCACTCACCAGAGAGACAGAAAATGAAAAATCACCCACCTAGGGGAGATGGCCACGCCAAAGTCCCTTCTCATCCATTCTCCTCTTGAGATTTTGACTATGCATGCACATGCACACACACACGCCCGCACACGCGCCCGGTGTGAGTTTTAAGCTGCTGGATCCGGGACTCAAAGTGTGGGCAATTCTGGAGTAGTCTTTAGGACTAATTTAAGCTCACTTCTAGTAGATGTTCTTTCTTGAGTCACTGTTGATAGCCCTGATATTTTTAAAAGTTCCTGCCTCTTTGTGAACTCTGTTAATAGTTTATCTCACAGCTTCCTGTTCATTTTCTTTCC